GTTGGTTCAGACGTCTATTGTGAGGTTTTGAGGACCAGGTGGGCCCTTTAAGAGGTGACAAGGGTCATGTGTGGTCATGAGGCTGGGGCCCTAGGATGGCGCTAGAGGCTTTATAAGGAGATGGGAGTAGTGGCTGCCACCGTCGCCAGGCGATGCCCCCTACAGCATTCCTGCAGCAAGATCACCCTCACCTAATGCCACCCTCGATCAGAACCCCCAGGGCCTGACTGAATGAACCTTCCTTGTGTATAAACTGTACTCGGAGCAGCAGAAAAGGGGCTAAGCCACAGAAACGTACACTTGCCCTGCACCCAGCCCAGGGGCGGCCCCTCCAGCCCATGACTGCCCCAGGGCACAGGTTCCTGGTGCCTTGGAAGGGGGCATCAGAGGGTCGGCGCTGTGGCGTAGCGGGTAAGGCCACGGGAGGGATGCCGGTATCCTATATGGGCACCGGTTCGAGTCCCGGCTGCTCTACTTTTGATCCAGCTCCCTGCTGTGGCCTGGGAAAGCTGCGGGAAGGTGGTCCAAGTGCTTGGGTCCCTGCACCTGCGTGGGAGACCTGAACGAAGCTCCTGGCTTCGGCCTGGCCCAGCCCTGGCCACTATGGGACATCTGAGGAGTGAACCAGTGGATAGAAGACCTTTGTCTCTCTGTAACTCTGGCTTTCAAATAAATAAACAAATCTTAAAAAGGGAGGGAGAGAGGGAGGGAGGGAGGCAGGCCTCAGAGAAACCACCCCCAGCGCTTGGGCTGCCTCTGCAAGCCCTGCTGGGAAGTCCTACTTTGGTGCCTAATGAGGTGTTTCCAGCAACCCCCATCCTCTCGACAGCTCTTTCTTTTCAATTTTTACTTATTTCTTTTTAATTTTCATCTACCCAACAGGTCGACCAAAGGGGACAGAAGGAGAGATTGCCCGTCCACTGGTTCCCTCCCCAAATGTCCACAACAGTCACAGACTGGGCCAGGCCGACGCCAGGAGCTGGAAACGCCATCCGGGTCTCCCACGTGGACGGCAGGGACCCACGCACTGGAGTCACCACCATTGGGCTCCCAGGGTGCGCGGCCGCAGGGGGGCCCCACGTGAACCCCGACACTGCGACAGGGGACACGGCCCCGCTGCTCCTCTCCACACCTGCTGACACGGCACATTGTGCACACTGGCACTAAACGCCCTGAAAATGAGGGCTCCCCACGCTGGGTGCCATGACTCGAAGCCCCAGCATCTTGGCACTAAGAGGGCAGAGACTTCGTGTAACTGAGGAGTCGGCAGGCGGGGGCCTTGGGAAGTGAGGAGACTGGGTCAGTACCACGCAGCTCCCACAACAGCCTCCTGGTGGCTTTATACACACCCGTTCCCACCAAGACGGGGTGTGGCTCCGGGGGGGCCCCTTGCCACAGCCTGCACCCTGCTGCTTGGACTTTGCACCCACACGCACCTCCTGTCTTCATAAGGCAGCCTGCCTCGGCGACTTCGTTATAGTAACGCAAAGCGCCCGAGAACGCCGGGAAGCCCCAGGTGTCCCAGAGCCCTCCTGAACAACTACACCACCAGGCCCCGCAGGAAAGCTGGTCCCGTGGGCCACAGACCGGACAGAGCCTGAGCACCATACATCAGAGAACCGGGCCTCAGCTCTGTCTGAGCTACACTCGCTGCAGACCAACCCTGGCGCCTCAGAGTGAGCCGGGACCCCACCTGCAGACCCTCCTCGGCCCCCAACAGGCTCACTGCCCCAAGGGCAGCAGCTGGGGGCTTGCCAGATAAAACAGGAGACCCCACCCCCAAACAGGTGAACAGCAAGCAGGTTCTTGGTCTAAATCCTGCATTAGTCGCTGCTTATCTGAAACCCAAATGAATCTAAGCACTGGACACTCAAAGCAGGTGCTCCTAAGGGAGGGAGACAAGTGGACACACAGAGCCACAGGTCAGCCAGGCGCAGCTCCAGGTCAAGAGGATGGGCGCTTGGCCCGAGCCCCCTCAGCAGTCACCCCACGCCTGGCTATGGAGGATGTTGGTCAGCTTGCACCACACAAGGGCTCAGCCCCATGGCTGTCACCCCAGCCAGCCGTCACCCATGCACGCTGAGTCCAAAGTGACTATGCATCCACCCCGGGGGGCCCACGGTCATCGACGGTCCCAGCCAGACCTCCCTGAAAAGCAAGAGCAACCGGGGCGCCCAGCGAGGGAGCCGGGGCCTCACGGGGCAAGGCAAGGGCAGAGCCAAGGACCGGAGCCCGGAGCCCCCAGCCCTGCCCCTTGCAGCTCTGCCCTTCACCCTGGAGAAGCCATCAGACCCATGTGCACTTCCGCAAGGGAGGCCCAGAAGGCGCGGAAGGGGACGCAGGACAGGTGCGCTCTGGAGGGGAGTAGAATTGGGGACATCACAGACAGTGGGAGAAGCAGCACTGGCTCTCCACCCCCCCCCCAACAGAGGCCAGGAGGTCCTCCCTCTGCCGTACCACACAACCCCGGGGCACCTGAGCCTGAGCGTAGCCAGGGGCACAGGGCCTGCGGGGAGGGGCCTCTGACCGTTTGAAGCCCCTCTTGCCTTACCCAGAAGCCTCTTGTGTTCTCCCTGCTCCCACCCCCTGACCACAGGTCCAACCTCATTGTCTCCTGGCCAGATGCATCTGGCTCCTCCCCTTCTCCCCAGAAACCCACCCCTGCCACCACCCACCTCTGCTCAGGGGATTCCCTGCCAGTCTCCCCAAGGGTCCCTGTTCCAGGAGGTTCCGCAGTATAACCTGGACTCAGCCTGGGATCCCAAGCCTTCCACCCAGGTCCTGCTCTGCCCCCGGTGTTGTGACTTCCCCTTTTCCCTGGGGATACCCGTCCAGGGCCCCATGGAGCCAGGAGCACACCCGGGCTGGTTACCTCAGGACCTGGTCGTGTTCCCGGCTGCCCAGCATTTAAAGGAGAGACGGCCACTGCTGGCTAAGAGTCACAGCACAGAGAGTGGCAAGACAGAGAAGACTGGGGGGGGCATACGCAGAGGGGGATCACATGGGCCCCCCCAGAGGCTCAAGAAAAGGCCCCAGGCCCCCCTACCATGGTGGGGAACCTGCTGCAGAGATGAGAACTTGGGACAAGACCACAGGCGCAGGGTTTTTCATTCATTCATTCATTCATTCATTCAGGCACACGGCTGGTCAACACGTGTTTGAGGAGCACGGTGCAACGGGAGAGATTCGTGAGCATCTGAGCTCCATTAGTGTTGGGAGGGAGGAAGGCAAGAATGCCAGGGACACACGAAGGGGTCACCTCGGCCAGTGCTCAGACCCTGGAGGAGGAGGGGAGAGACGTGGCCCCCTCCCCCTGCTGTCGCCGCCGCCCGCTGGGGAACAGCAGGGGTAAGGCATAGCCCGGTGCAGAGCAAGGCAGTTTAGGAACAGGGGTGAGACTGCAGGAGCCAATGACCGGGCCAACGATGCACCGGGTGACCAGACACCAGCCAGCCAGGGTAAGGACGAGCCACCCACGTGTGGTCTTCAGTCCCAAGGTCACGGCTCAGGACAGGAGGAGCCCAAGCAGGCCCCCACCACACCACGTCCCCCTGAGGTCTTCAGCTGGGGTCTCCCACTCTGAACCCCACTGAAGGGACAGCTACCTCGGAGGCCCGCAGGGTCACACCTGCCAAGCAAGAGCTGCGGCCGCACGGTCAGAGGGCCAGCCTGGCTCCCGGCACGGGAGACCGCCATAAGTGGATGGATGAAGACTGTGATGGGCACCCCACAGATAAAGGCCCCTGGTCCCAGCTTTGGAAGAATGACACTGATATGTGGGTTAAGTGGACCCCCATGATGCTGGCTCCCAGACCCACTTCTTCCCCCGTTCCAACAACCTGGCAGTGGTCCCCTGGGACCCTCTTGAGCGAGCATCGCCAATTTCTAGGTCACCCTCCAAGCGGGCTACAGCACAGGGCTCGGGCAGAAGCCTCCCACAATGCGATTCTGGTTGGGGGTTCAGAAACCCCAGGTCTGTCTTGGCCCACCCCATGCCCCTGAGCAGACAGAAGAGGTCAGAGTCTCTGTTACACCCTCCAGGGCCCCATCCAGGGTGGCTCATGACGGCCACCTGGCAGGTCCCCTCCTCGCTGCCCTGTGCCCAGCCCCTCCTTCTCGGAATAAATAATCAATAACCCTGCCCGCTCCCTCTGGGAATGACGCGGCTGAAATGAATGAGCTGCTCCCAGGCCAGTGCTGAGAGCAAGCCCGCCAGGGGAGTCCCAGGGCTGGAGGGGGCCGGGGGGCTCGGGCCACCACTCCCCTCTACTCTGAGCAGTCCCAGAACCATCCCCTCCAACCACAGCCACCCCAGGACAGCCCCACACCATCCTCCATCCCAGGGCCGGTGCGTCCCCCAAGTGCCCACCAGAGAGACCCCTCCAGGCCACACTCCCTCACTTCCGCCTCTGTACCCGGGCCCCAGGACTCTACCAGCCGCCAAGTGTGGACCCCAGGGGGCGTGGGGAGGCAGGCCAGGGCTCCAGCCTCCTCGGGCACCCACCAGGAGGACAGAACTCCCAGCAACGCGGTGGCCCCCTGAGCCTGCTGTCCGTCCCCCCAGGGGGCCCGGCAGAGGGTCCAAGCCACCATTTCCAGGGATTCCGGGCAGGACTGGTGGGAAAGTGGGCACTGAGGCCCCTGAAGCCCCCTCCTCTCCCTCCCTCCGCGTCTGCAGGAACTCAGGACCGCCCACAGACGGGGCACCCCCAACTTGGCCTTCCTAGACCCCTCGTGCCTGCGCCACTGTCACTGTCCCCGTCTCCTTCCCAGCTTCACCCAGTGGCCAGCAACCACCACTCCAGGCAGCGCCCTCCCGGGGCGGGGACCCCAACCTGGGAACCCAGGGCTGGGGCAGCCGCTGCCTGCGGAGGGACTCGGCCTTCGAGTAGGGGCCCAGCCCGGGCGGCGGCGGCGGCTGGGGGTGGGGGCCGGGGGCCGCGGCCTTCCCAGCCCCCTCGGCTCCCGCACCGGCGCCCGCCGCGGGCAGCACGACTGACCTCATTCGCCAACTGCAGCGGCCTCAGGCGCCGGCCCGGGGCGCCCCCCACCTCCGGAGGGGCCGGGGGGCTGACAGCTCCGGGCTCGCAAGCCGCTGCCGGCAGGTGGGGGGCGGCCGCCCCTCGCGTCCCCAGGCCCGAATTATAATCCCGGTCACGTGCCTCCTCTCCCCAAGCCCCCCCCCCCCCACCTACCCACATACACACACACACACCCCCAAGCCGGACCCGGATTCTGGAACACCTTGAGGGGGAGGGGCGGGCCCCGGTTTGGGGGGAGGGGGGTGCGGGGCGCAAGACGGGCCTCGGCGCCCGCCCCCCGCAAAAGTTTCTCCTACCTTGGAGGATCCCCAAGCGCTCCTGCCAGCGGCGCCCCGGCCCCGGCCCGCGGCCAGCACTCAGCCTCCCGCCGCTGCCTCCGCCTTAATTAATCCGCGAGAACGGGGACGGCGAGGCCGAGGCAGGCGAGCGGCGGCGGCGGCGCGGCGCGGGCTGGCGGGCGGGGAGGAGCGCGGGGGGCGGCGGGGCTCGGCCGGCCGGGGGGCGGCGCGCGGCGGCCCCCACCCCGGCGGCTGCGGCGGAGGGCGGGGCGCGGCGCGGGGAGCGCAGGCGAGAGCGGGCGCGCGGGAGGCTCTTTGTTCTGTAATCCCAGTAAGATTGCCAGCCATTCGCCCCGGCCCTAATCCCAGCCCCGCGCAACACCACCCTCCATTGGCTGCCATTTACATACGGGATTAGCCCGCCCGGCCCGCCCCGCGCCCCGGCCTGGGCACCGCGGGGGGAGCGCGCCGCCGCCCCGCCCCCACCCCGCCTGGCCCCGCGGGCCGCGGGATTAGGGAGCCTGGGCACTCGCCCCCCTCTTCGGGGGGTCAAGGTCACTCGGTGGCTCCGGCTTGGAGAGGGGATGGGGGGCGGGGAAAGGCAGCGGAGGCCCACCGGTCATCCCGGCCTCCTAGCCCCGGTTCTTCTCCCAGGGTTTGGCCCAGGTCGCCTCTGTCTCTCTGAGGGATATGCCCACACCCAAGGTCGCAGCAGGTCCAAGTGCCCTCCCTTGTGGTGCCCTGGCCTGGTACCCTCCTCCGTTATACCCACACCCCCATATACGACAGGGGCCCTGCTGAATCCAGGTGCACATCCACTCCCATCCCCCCTGAATCCACACAGCCGCTCCCCCACAGGTGCTGCGAGCCCTGTGCCAGGTGTTTGCTAGGCTGGCCACCGCGGGGACGCGCACCCCAGGCAGGCCCCAACCCCAGGGAGTTCCTGGCCTAGATGCAGAAAACCCAAGCCTGGCTGAGACTTCAGCAGGTCCTGCCTGGGGCCGGCACAGGCGCTGGTGAGGGTTGACCTTGGCTGAACACTTCTCCCCGCCCTGGCAAGCCCAGAAGCCCATCAGACTGAGAGCCGGCCCCCAGGGCAGCCCGTGGCAGAGCTGGGAGGGGCCCTGGGATTGGGCATGAGGCCAGGAGTCCTCCATCTGTCCCCCTGGGCCCCCTGGGGAGACTGGGAACACCTCGAAGCACCCTCCTGTGTGGTCCCTCCAGCCTGTGCTGGGTCTATGTGAGTTCAAATCCTGGCTCTTCCTCTTGCCACTTGTGTGACCTTGGGCAAACCAGTTCCCCTCCCGAGGGTCCACTTCCCCCTTCCTGCAGCCTCCTGTGTCCACCACGGGGTGGCTCCCAGGGCAGGCAGGGCAGATGGTGGTCACGGCTGGTTCAGCATCCGCTTGGTTCTGGGCTGAGGCATTGAAGATCTCTATGCCTCGTGCTCCACCTGCCAGGTGGGTACTGCCGGCCTCTTCCCACAATGCAGTGAAAAGAGACTTTGTTAAAGACACCAGCCACATGAGTGCTCTGTCGGGACTGGCTCCCCTGGCTGCCTTCTGCCCACTGACCAATGGATGGTGCCCGCTTGACATCGGCGCCAGGGCTGGAGGTGTTAAGGGTAACGTTAAGTGGCTCCAGGGGGCCCAGCTGAGGGAAGTTGGTTCCAGGAAGGGCTGGCAGGTGCTGGGCCAGTCTTCCCCAACCCCAAGGCGCGGAGAGAAATGAGGCCTGGGGAGAAGGCAGCTCTGCCATGTGCTCAGTACTGCCCCCTGCAGGCAGAATCCAGAGCAGCAACGCTGGGTGCGCAGGTCCCTCTCTCCACTCTGTGGGCTGCTGGGCCAAACAGCCAGCTGGGCCCCGTCATAGTTCAGGCAGAGACCAGGGGGGAGTGGATACAGCACTGTGGTCCGGCATAGCCGGGCCCCACTCGGAAACATGTGACCTGGGCATGACGCGGGGCTGTGTGTGCACCACTTGCCTCCCTGGGCCTCGGCTTGCTTGTCTGTACAATGGGGCTAAGGTAGGCCTTCCTTCCTCCGATTGCTGTGAGGATTGAACGACACACACTGCGGGGGGAAATGTTCCGCGTGGTGCCTGGTAACGGATGGGCCTCCATTGGTTTACTGGCCGGTGGGTGGGGCTATCCCCACGTCACAGGTGTGACTGTAGGGCACCAGGCAATCACAGAAGGGAGTGGGTACCTGAATCTGCTGCTTCCCGGTCAGCCCAGGAAGCCCCAAGGCAGGAGGAACTGGCCCCCCCATGCAGAACTGGCCGCCAGGGGGCGCTGTCCATGTGGACTCCGGCAGCCTCTGTTCCTCTCCCGGGACCCTGAGGCCCTACAGGCATCAGTGCCTTGGCCAACATGCTGCACAACCCAGCTCGCGTGGCTCCGCCCAGCGGGGGGTGGGGCAGGTAGCGGGACGGCCCAGGCATCCTGGCAGAGGAACGGCTTGGGGAACCTCAGGTTTGACTGCCTCGGATGGGACCACACAGGAGCACAGGTGAGGACGGGGAACCCAACGCCTTCATCTTATAGGTGAGCAGACCGCACCTGGTCGGAGGGCAGGAGTGACCCAGAGCAGCCCAGGAGCGAGTGGCAGGATCTGCACTCAGGACTCCCTATCTGCCGCCTGCCTCTTTCCACCACCGTCTGGCTCTGCTTGTCTTTTCGGGATCATTGGCACTTAACACCTTAGAAGTGGGACTTCTAGAATGTCAGAAGACATCCACCATTCCTGTTCCCCCTCAGAGGAGCAAAGCTGTGAGGACTGGGAGGGAAACAAGACCCGTCCACGATCAGGCCACAGAGCCTCCACGTTGGACGTTAGCCCAGCCAGCGGGGGCGCCCTGGCAGTGCCGACGCCCACACAGGGGCAAGGGGCAGGTGATGGGCTCGCTGGCGCCCCCTGTGTCTGTGACCCAAATCTGCAGTCCCAGAGAGGGCTGTCCCCCGGGCCTCCTTCCATCACCTGCGTGGGCCCTCGTCCCCCTGAGGCTCGGTCTGGTCCAGGCTGCTGGAAACCGAGTCCTTTCCCTTGGTGGGACAGGGAATCAGTAGGGCCATGGTTTTGCAGATGTCCCCAATTCAAGATGCAGAGCCAGGATCTCAGGCACCCTGGCGAGCTGGGGTCGGGACAGCCTGGGCAACCTGGAAGCAGGGCAGTCATCCCTGAGGACAGAGGAGGGGCCGGTGCTGTGGTGTAGGGGGTAAAGCTGCCGACTGCAACACCAGCATCTCATACAGGTGCCAGTTCAAATCCCAGCTGCTCCACTCCTAATCCAGCTCCCTGCTAATGCGCCTGGGAAAGCAGCAGAAGATGGCCCAAGTGCTTGGGCCCCTGCACCCACATAGAGGACCTGGATGGAGAAGAAGGCTCCTGGCTTCAGCCTAGCCAAGCCCCCAGCCATTGCAGCCATTTGGGGAGTGGACCAGCCAATGGAAAAATCTCTCTCTCTCTCTCTCTCTCTCTCTCTCTCTCTCATTGCCTTTCAAATAAGTAAAATAAATCTTTAAATAAATAAATGAATTAGTAAAGATTTGAGACACAACTTTGGAGGGGAGAGGGCAGGTGTTGGGCCTGGTAGTTTGAGATTTCTACTCCCCATATCAGGTGCATGGGTTCAAGTCCCACCTCCAGCTTCCTGCCGGTGCTGGCCCTGGGGGGCAGCAGTGATGGCTCCAGTCTTTGGGATTCTGCCACCCATGTGGGAGACCTGGGTTGAGTTCCCAGCTCCTGGCTTCCACCCAGCCCAGTGCTGGCTGTTGCAGGCGTTTAGGGGGTGAATTTGTGGAGGGGAGCCTCCCCCGGCCCCGCTCCCCGTCTCAAATGAACAAATAAATTTAATAAAAATAGGACAACTTCAAGACCCAAAAAGGAAAGATGGAGGGAAAAGCATTTCAAAGTGCCTTCCCCAGATGCTATGTGATGTTATGGGGAAGAGAACACCATCAAGTGCAAAGCCTTGGGAGAACTTCTACCCCGTGTGCCCCCGTCCCTTTGCACTGCCTAGTGGAGGGTATGCCAGTCTCTGCCCCATCCCACCTACTGCCCGACGGCCAGGCACCCCACCCAGCCCTGCAAGGAGAGCCCTGGGTTGAGATCCAGACCGATTTACTTCTCAATCTCAGCCATGTTGTTTGGGGCTACGTCTTCTCTCTGAGCCTCAGTTTTCTCATCTGTAAAGGGGGTCCCTAAACACAGCCCGAGGTCTCTGGCGAGTTCATCTGCAGCCCAGTGCTTGGACAAGTGGACGAGCCAGGACCGGAGGGGGTCCAGTGGGTGCCTCTTCCGTCTCAGCTCAGCCACTGGCTTTGGGGAGCCTGGGGCCTCAGTTGCCATACCTTGTCAGCCAGCCAGAGCCATACCTTGTCAGCCAGGGGCCGGTGCCATGGTATAGTGGGTAGTGCCGCCATCTGCAATGCCAGCATCTCATATGGGCACTGGTTCCAGTCCCAGCTGCTCCACTTCTGATCCAGCTCCCTGCTAATGCGCCTGGGAAAGCAGTGGAAGATGGTCCAAGTGCTTGGGCCCCTGCACCCATGTGGGAGACCTGGAGGAAGCTCCTGGCTTTGGCCTGGTCCAGCCCTGGCCGGGCAGCCATTTGGGAAGTGAACCAGCGGATGGAAGATCTCTCTCTCTCATTCTGCCTCTGCCTCTCCCTCTCTTTAACTCTGCCTTTCAAGTAAAGAAGTAAATTTTTCTTTTAAAAAAGTACCAGCCTGGATGGGCATTTGGCACAATGATTAAGATACCGCTGAGACAGCTGCATCCCTTAACAGAGTAC